CCCTGCAGCAGATATAAAATGGGTATCCGGCTCGCCGCTAACTACCTCGCTAATTTGTTTGTTTTTCACCACCGAATCATTTTTCACGAACATCAGAATTTACAATATTGCCCAGTACAAGGGACCAAGACAAATACGAATTCAAATTAAAATATTTACAAAAGCAAATGAACGGCGTTCTTCTCGCAGCATTTCGTTCCTTTGAATCGGCAAAAAGGGAAGCGAGGGAGTAAGGAGGGTGCAGACATGCAAAGAACTGAATTGTTTGAAGAAAGACCAAAGGACGCAACTTGACAAATTCGGTTTGCATTCCTGCTCGGAATTTCCGCGTGACTTGTAATGGTAGAACTGCGGGAGCCCCCGAGATTTATCATTTCAACCCCTTAGAGATACATGATCGGACAAGGGGGCATCACCATTTACAACAAACCCAAATCAATAGCCATTACAACACAAAATTAAAATTTTATGAAACTATCATCGTTGCTCTTGTGCTCTTTTTGCAACTTGTTAGAATTTATTTCGCCTTTAATTAGCCCTTCCATAATTCAAAGGAGCCTTGTTAACGTTTCATGAGAAAATAAGCAATTTTAAATAATTAAACCATCAGACTGACATCGAAAGATTGACTTTTCCTGTTAATCGTTTTTCACACAGCCGAACTCTCCTCTAAATTTTTGAAAATATTCAAAACTAAATTCAGTGTAGCAGTCGCTCCGTTTTGAGTGATAACTACAAGTAAAAACCATCGCATTTAATTGCGAAAAACAGAATGAAAAAAGCAATTGAAATGTACGCCAAGCTCCCCTTCTGAATAATGACAAAGACATATTTTTAAAATTCGTTAATGGTGCGTGCGGTGCGATATCAAACCGAATTCTCAAAGTCGGAAATCCCGGAACGTGAAGAATTAAGTCCGGAGAGATTTTTCCGGGGAGGCTTGAGCGCCATCTATACTGATAATTAGACGCGCTTTGTTGCCGATCATTTCTTTATTGAATCAATAAGGCCGCTGCCGAGGGGAGACTTATTAAATTACGCGGCCAACTGGGACACAAGAATTTTATTTATAATACAGCTTTTCAAAATATCTTTTTCAAAAAATTTTCACAATTCCATATATGGCGTTATATTTTATATTAAGTAAATGGAAAAAATGCATACTTGGAAGGTGCACTTTGTTTAACAAATAGTAACATGTGTACAATAAAATTTCTCATCAAAGTGGTCTGAGACCTAAAATGCTTTTAAATCTGTTCTCAGTAATTCTAGATCACTGAGCATAATTAAAGTGAAATAATAGTAGATTACATACCGAGGTGGAAGGTGTTGCAAGACCAAATTTGATGCAGTAACCCGAGGCAAGAAAAAGCAACGACCACCAAAGTTTGTATACTCTTTTATATACAATCATACTCCAGGAAGCCAATAAATAATTTATCAGATTTTAAAAATCTTACATATGACAATTAAAGTTGGGAAGTGGTCACTTACCTACTAATCAGCTTTCAGGTTGAAAAGTGGCCATTTCCCAATCTGAACTGTCACAGTACATATCAAATGAAAAGGAAGTGACCACTTCCCAACCTGAACCTATTATTTTATATCAATTGTTAAAAGTTGGGAATGTCATACTTTCCAACTTTTCAAATTTGATTATGATTGTGCATAAAAAACTATTGCTTGCTATTATTTGATTTTAATAAATCTTACTTATATTAAATTATAGTATATTACATACCGAGTCAGGTAAAGTTTCATTATAGCCGAGCATTGATTACTTAACTAAAGGCAAAACTTGATAATCCTTTTTTATGTTAGTTTCTGAATATTATAAATGTATTTCCGTTGGTGGGTAAATAAAGAATGTCAAAGAACAACACATAACTTAACTAAACTAATATTAATCAATTAATAATAATAGTGAGACTCATGAGAGTTATGCAACTCACTCTCCAGGTATGTAATATTTTTTGAAGTATGTAATAATTTCCCTGTTAATTATTATTAATAACTTCACTGTCTGTCGTGTGTTGTGAGTTCAAGATCTAGTGAAACATCGTTGTCGATACAGAGTGTGTCGGAACTCGCGCCCCAGAGAAAAATTTCAAGTAAGATAAAATACCAGGAACATGAAAAAAATGTTTCAAAATTCTATCTGTCGAAAAATGTTGACATTTGACATTTTTTGTCTATTTAATGATACTGATGATCTTGTATATGTTCTTTTTTATAATCCTTTAGTAAAGATACAAAAATTTTGCCAATAAAAAACACAAATAATATTAAACAGAGTTACAATTTAGGATACAGCTTCCTTGTTTCCTCTTCTTATAGCCTGTAGCAAAAAATAATAATTTTTCCAACAAAAATTAGTAGATCATTTTTTACTCATAATGTATTATAATAATTTGTTACAAATATATATTTTTTAGATAAGAAAAACAAGCTTTTTAAAAATGACATAGCCATCTATGATTCCCATTTTAAAAAATACAAGTTTATTATACAGAGTGCGCCAGAACTCTTACCCCAGAGAAAATTTTCAAGTAAGGTAAGATACCAGGAACATGAAAAATATGTTTAAAAAATTCTATCTGGCAAAAAATTTTGACATTTATTTTTTGACATTTGACATTTTTTATATCTATTTAAGGATACTGATGATCTTGTGTACAGGGTGAATATAAAGTATGGAACCAAGCGGTTTTTTTTTAAATCATTTGTCTTCAGAAAATAATAATTAATATAAATTAACGTAATATAAAAAATGACATCGTATTTTGAGAACCAAATTTTGTCTTGTTTTTGAGTTATGCGATTTTTTTTAGTCAAAATTGCAATTCATAAAAAAAATTTTTTTTTAAAAATTAAATATGAAGTAGATAGTTGTGATCCTTACATCATAACCTTTATGAGAAAAATAGTTTTATTGTGGGTTGCTATTTAAAAAAATATTTTTTTTGTAGAACTCAAAACAAAAAAAAATTCAAAAAATTTTATTCTTGATAAAACATCATATCTTTAAAGTACTTTATCGTTCATCAATTAGTTTTTCCAAAAAATTAATAGTTTAAGCAAAAAACTTTTGGTTCCATACTTTTTATTCACCTGGTATGTTTTTTTTACAATTATTTAGTAAAGGGCCAAAAATTTTGCCAATAAAAGCCACAAATAATATTGAACAGTGTCACAATTTAGGATACAGCTTCCTTGTTTCCTCTTTTAATAGCCTATAGCAGAAAAACTTGGAAAATTATATTTCCAACAGAAATAAATAGTCAAAGTGCAAAATTTAAACTCTCATAACTTCGAAGTTTTTATAGATAAATTTTTTTACATTTTTTCATGTTCCTGGTATCTATCATGGCATTTTTTCTGGAGCGAGAGTACTGGCGCATCCTGTATAATATCCTTAGATATTTCTAGAAGATTCGTTTTCCAATCCTTTTTAAAATATTTTGTAAAAGTTAAATTTTGTCCGTAATTTTCATTCGTAATAATATTAATTGTCATTGTTGAAGTATAAAGACTTTATGTTGTTTTTCAAATGTACATTTTTCATGATTACATTGCAACCAAAAAACAAGTGTGAGGAAGTCTCAAAGTGTTTGTCTCGGTGATAATAAGCAATTCCTCTTGTGAGCGTTTGTCTGATTAAAGAAAGAAGTGAAAGCAGTACGTCGTAAACAAATTTACTTTAATTAATGATTGGATGCCCTCTGTTTATAATGAGCCGGGTAGGTGGCCGTATTTCCTCTCGACTCCGTCCCATATAATTGTAACTTGGGGTCTTCATTGTGATGTCACCTAGGTGATCCGTCGAGGTGAAAGGTTGCCATAGAGGTGTTCTCTCAGTCGTAAAGTTGATGTCGCCAGATGCCTCTAAATATCATTAAAGCCACTGATCCGAAAAAGTCCAAGTCAAATAAACTCTGCTCTCATTCCAACCGAATTAATTTTTTCTTTTCACGCAGAGGCAGACAAATCCTCAAGGACGCGAACCCATGTGCCACTCCGACTCTAATTTGCTTAGTTCGGCGACGATCATTTGTTCAAATTACGCCCATTTCGGACAGCGAGTCATTGGCGTAAATCCCAGAAAGTGACTTGGGATTCACTAAGTTACTACGTTGGACGCTTGGACGCAGGTTAGCAGGGTGGAAGAGACCCCAAAGTCGGAATTAATGATGGCTTTTATTGAAACTTCAATTTCTTGATTAGGAGGGACACGAATTTCGAAAGAAACAATGCGTTTATACAACAGGTTTATTCGGTATTTACAAACAAAATAGATTACATCAAGTAAAAAGTTTAAAAACTAATTACACTTTTTGAATGTACATTAAATGTATTTTATATACAAGAGCTTTGGGACTGACATTAAATCATGAGAGCTAGTTATGGTATCCATTCAACTAAAATATTTACACGCAAATGTATAGAATCGTGCTAAGTACAGATGTACCACCAAATGGGCCATACTTGGAAAATTAAAAAATCCACAAAAAATAAAATTTAATTATTTAATAAGAAATTTTTTAAAAGTGTTATACAGGCAACTGCATTATTTTTAAAGATATGACAATACTTCTTATAACAAAGTTGCACAGTTTATTATCATCTACTATTTGAGATCGCTGCTCAATCAATGTTGCTTGTTATTTTACTGTCATCAATTTCAGTTTTTTAAATGGATCACTCCGTATATTTTATTATTTTTTGATTCCTCGTTAAATTGTCTTTCAATAAGCTTACTATTTATTTTTATCACCAACTTTTGTTTTTAGGAAATTTAAAAATTAAATTTAATTAATTAGGCTGTGGAAAGAACAGAACATTTTTATTTTCGAGTAAAACAAGCAAACGACTGATAAAAAAAAATTTCAATTTTGATCAAAGATGTATTGTAACGTCTTTAAAAGTAATGAAATTATGACTCGGGGCGTTTTTTATAATCCAGCCTGAGTATTATTAAATTTTGTAAAATAAAAGTTTGTTAATCTAAAATTTGTAGTTGTTTAATGCCTCGTTAATTCTTTAAAAACAACATTATTATATTTTTTTGAAATGGCATGTACTTCTGTATTTTATTCAAAAAAAAAATAATGTAAAAGCAACAATTTAAAAAAAGTTAAATGTTCCAAACCGTCACTTATGCCCCTTGTTTTAATTTTCGGCGAAAAAACCTACCATTCCCAACAAGTACTATAACCAAAATCTAACCTAAACCTCTATTCTAGTAGGGCCTCCATACATCCCCCAGTCTATTACACTTCAAATGCTCCTTTTCACTTGAACTGACCTCCTCCTTCTGCCTCACTAACGTAATCGCCGCTTTCCTGCACCTATGCAGCGATAGATTCACCCCTTCGTCTTTGCCCTTTTTCTCTTCTTTCCCTTTGCTGTCATCGGACTTGGCATCGTCATCCACCCCTTCCGACTTGGTCGATCCGTTGGGATTTTGACCTAGTTCATGAGGCGACGAGCTTCTCGGCAATAGAGAATGGTGTCTTAGGTTCATCCAGGCCCAGTCGTGTGGATAAAACTGTGAGTAGAACCACTGGCCGGGAGGTGGTAATAAAGGAGCGTTGAGAAATAAGCTGGCGGCTAGCGCGTTATTGAACAATTGGTTGTTTTGGATCGGGGGCGGAGGGGCTCCGGGAAATGCTGGTGGCGGTTGTGGGGACGGAGTCGGCGATGCTGTTACGGATATGTCATCTTCAGGTGGCGAAAGTGGGGCGCCTGCGGTCGTCAGGAGGCCTACTTGAGTGGGGGAGGTTTTGGGAGATGTGGTGCTGTGGGCCGGAGTGCAGTTGATAGAGATGGGGCCCAGGGAAGTCGAGCTGGGCTCTGAAAAAAAAAAAACACACCGCAATTACTATATGGAAGAATATATGAAATATTTTGAAAGTGGTTTTGAAAATGGTTCGAAATTTTCATGTACGTGCAAGTTGAGATTAATAAAACAAAAAGTAAAAATGGTTAAAACTCCAAATTATACAGAGTGTTTTAGAGCTTGCGCTTCAGAGAAAAAATGTTCAAAAATCTATCTGTCAAAAATTTTGACATTTATTTTGTGACATTTGATATTTTTTTATGTTACTAATAATCTTGTAACGGGTGTTTATTTAAATTTGAGGTCATAGTTGAGCGGACCACAATTTTTAATACACCCGGTGCCAAATGTCAGTAATAACTTTCAGTACGGTGGTTCGTTCACAATTAAATTTTCATAGACGCCAAATTTAAATAAACACCCGTTATATGTTTTTTCATAATTATTTAGTATAGGTACAAAAATAAAATTTTGCATACAAAAGCAAATTATTTTTCATATATTCGAAATTTTTATAAATAAAATTTTTTTTTAATTTTCTTCATGTTCCTAATCTCTTACCTTACATGGCAGTTTTCTCTGAGACGCAAGTTTTGAAGCACTCTCTATAGTATACTGTACATATGGAAATTTAATTAAAATATGCACGAAAACATTTTCCAAAAGTTTTAGTAATTTTTTGATTTAAAAAATTTACAAACCATTTATTTTTCCTACAAATAGCAAATGTGGTTCTGAAAAAATGTACTTAAAGCACGTATTATTTCAACCATTCAAAGCTCAAACCAGTTTTAAAACCATTTGCAAAATATTTTAGTAATCTCAACTTAGTATGTATTTATTATATATAGTACAGTGATATAAAGCTCAAACCATTTCCAAATCATTCATTGTAAGCAAACAACAACTTTTTTTACGTTGTATTTGGTAACCCCCTAAAGTCCTATAATAATTATTACGCTCATGTAAATTTATATTCGTAACTAAAAAAATACTGTATACATAAAAAACAGATAATATTATTTTAATAAAAATGATATAAGAATTGTGAAGGTAAGAATTTTTATATTCATAATCTAGAGCCTCAAAAATTTCTAGAGCAATTTGCATATGTCCACCAAAAATATTTATTTAAACGGAATTACAAAATATAAAATACAAATAATGTAAAACATTTAAAACTTAAATCAAATCAATCAAAACGTTTACAAAACTATTTATGCTTGTTAGTCCTTTTTTATTCAAACAACAGAAATTGTTAGAAAAATACTAAAAATAAATAAATAGTATCTTACAAAATAATATATATATGA